CTCTCTTTCCCACAGCAATCTCATGGAGAAACTGGCTGCTTGTGGCCTGGATGAGTGCACTCTTCGCTGGATAAAAAATGTGACGGGGTGTCCGGGCCCAAGTAGTTGGGGTGAATGGAGTTAAATCCAGTTGGTAAGCAGTCACAAGTGGTGTTCCCCAGTACTGGGGCCAGTTCTGTTTAATATTTTTATAGATTACTTTGATGAGAGGATTGAGTGCACCCTCAGTAAGTTTGCAGGCGACACCAAGTTGGGTGGGAGTGTTGATCTGCCTGAGGGTAGAGAGGCTCTGCAGAGGGATCAGGACAGGCTGGATCGATGGACCGAGGCCACCTGTATGGGGTTCAACAAGGCCAAGTGCTGGGTCCTGCACTTGGGTCACAACAACCCCCTGCAGCCCTACAGGCTTGGGGACAAGTGGCTGGAAAGCTGTCAGGCAGAAAAGGACCTGGGGGTGTTGGTCAACAGGCAGCTGACTCTGAGCCAGCAGTGTGCCCAAGTGGCCAAGAAGGTCAATAGCATCCTGGCCTGCATCAGGAACAGTGTGGCCAGCAGGACTACAGAAGTGATTGTCCCCCTGCACTGGGCACTGGTGAGGCTGCACCTGGAATCCCGTGTTCAGTTTTGGGCCCCTCACTGCAAGAAAGACATTGAGGTGCTGGAGTGTGTCCAGAGAAGGGCAACGGAGCTGGGGAAGGGTCTGGAGCACAAGTCCTGTGAGGAGTGGCTGAGAGAACTGGGGTTTTCAGCCTGGAGGAGGTTCAGGGAAGACATTATCGCTCTCCACAACTACCTGCAAGGAGGTTGTAGTGAGGTGTGTGTCAGTCTCTTCTCCTGAGTAACACGTGATAAGACGAGAGGAAATGACCTCAAGTTTTGCCAGGGGAGGTTTCTGTTGGATATTAGGAAAAATTGCTTCACCAAAAGGGTTGTCAGGCATTGGAATGGGCTGGCCAGGGCAGTGGTTGAGTCACCATCCCTGGAAGTATTTAAAAGTCATGGAGACATGGTGCTCAGGGACATGGGTTAGTGGTGGACTTGGCAGTTTCAGGTTAACAGTTAGACTTGATGATCTTAAAAGTCTTTTCCAACCTAAATGATTCTATGACTCTGTGCCCTTGGGGCGAAGCATGTCACTCGCTTGGTGGGGAGCAGGTATTGCAGGAGACGTCTAATTGGGAACACAGTTTGGGGTCCACATACCACAGGGACAGTGCTGAGGAGCAATTGCTGGAGGAGCACCACAGGCCCACGCATCTCAGTAGTACTGCTGGGTGGGGAAAAGGGTGTTTCTTGTCTTGTGCTGCCCCCATACAGACTGCCAGGCCCTTTCCCTGTGCCCAGGCTCCCAGTGGTCTGTGCGCACAAGGAAGGTGGCAAGGCAGCTCTCTGACAGTGCCTGCTATAGCCATGGAAGACATTCCCAGGAGCTGGACACCGTTGCCGACTGGTGTATTTGTAGCACAGATGAGTTTGATGGGGAGGTCGTGTGCTTTCTATGTGAGATGAGGCTGAGACCCAAAGCCCCAAGACAAACTCTGGGCAGACAGTACTGCTAGAAGGCCTCTTGTCCCACGGTGGGGTGACCTTGCCTCCCTGCTTCAGAGCATCCCGCAAAGCTGGGGAATATCCCAGGAGTAAAAGCCAACCTGGTTCTCCAGAGATGCTGTTACAAGAGATTGTTTGGCTAATAGCATCTCTCACCCTGTGTGCTCGCATGTGCAGGGATGTGCCCCACCAGCCGCCCAAGTTAGCCCAGGACAGACTCAGTTCTGCTTCTTGGCAAGCAGCAGCAGCAGCGCGAGGCCATAGGAGAGGGGAAGGATGCTGTTGCAGGACGTCCAGAGCAGGCAGAGCTTGGAGAAACTCTCGGACTCCACAGCCACCAGGATGTAGGCGACAATAAGCTGTGTGAAGACCCAGGTTGTGCCACGGTAGAGGAGCTTCGCACCCTGGGAGGTGGCCCGGGCGCTGAAGAAGGGATGGATGCGGTAGTCAGCCTCCACCATGACAGCCCAGCACAAGAAACCAAAGACCTGCCCAGGCCGGAGGCCATGCCACCAGGCGGAGAAGGCAAAGGTGGCTAGGAGAGGCTGGGCCGGGCAGCGCTGGAAGATGAGTCTCCTCAGCCAGCGGGACGTGCTCTTGTTCCAGGTTCGGGTGAAGACGGCCATGCGGTGTGTTGTCTCCAGCGTCCACAGGTCACGAATGGAAAGGTC